ACAACCGTGTGTTATACATTGACATCGACATCCACCATGGTGATGGAGTGCAGGTATTACATTTAAATCCCTAATTTGCATCTATCAACATCTAGAATTATTTAGAATTGGGAAAAATCTTCAATGTATTGTTTTCCATGGAAACTGGATTGTGCGGTTTTGAGAATGAGTACACCAAAAGAAATACTTATTTCATAGGGTATTCCTTTGTGTAAACTAACAGTTTGCATGGTTTTACATTGTGTGTATAATCCACTTGCAGGAAGCCTTTTATTTGACCGATCGGGTAATGACGCTGTCCTTTCACAAGTATGGAAACCAATTCTTTCCAGGAACTGGTAAGTTTGAATACATTGCCGCCCAAAGTGAGTTGACCGTCTCGACTCGAAACTCGACATTCGAATGTATCGAGAATCGAGGATTGAGAATCGAGAATCAAGAATCGAGTATCGAGTATCGAGTATCGAGGATCGAGAATTGGGGATCGAGACGCTATCATGACAGTCTCTTTCAGATGGGAACTTTCACCATGAGATATCAAAAAAATAGTTGATAGATTGCTAAAGACAGAAAATTTTTAGTTCTGTCGTCAAATAAAGGTGATATTCCTAGTTGTTGCAAGCGCAAGACAAAGACATTGTAAGCAAAACACTTGTCACTTAGCACTCCAGAGTGTTCTCGGTAACTCAGTAATAAAATGAGGTAGCATAGAATGCAAAGTTGTGGACTTCGATTCCTTATCACTGGGATTTAGATTTTCCAGGAAATAACCAGTTAGACCATGACCTATATTTGTTTATCCGCAGGAGACATGTTTGAATTAGGAGTTGAGAACGGACGATACTACTCACTAAATGTTCCTTTGAGAGATGGAATAGATGATCAAGGTACAGCTCCTAATTTCATTCTTTCAGGGATGAAATCTTTTCCCGTCGTTCAGATGACCGTAGTTCTTTCCCTTAGTTTACATTTCTCCACTTTACACGTGCACTTGTCCCCTTTCGAATTCATACCTTTCCCTTCACAAAAATCGTCTTTGATTTGTCAAGAGAACCACTGTAACTTAACTTCAACTAATACAGCTCACCTTGGTACATACAACATCTAAAAGGTTTAAAATGATTTACATTTTGTAGCCAGGTTCACTTCTTGTGTGGACAACTTTGTTGTAAGGAAATTCTTATCGTTGTGGGTGCTTGACCAAAACCCCAAAAAGTACCCAAGAAGAAATAAAAATGCATGTCCCACGGAGTTATTTCACGGGGTTAAATGTGTGTCATGCGCTTTCTCAATCTTTCCTTTAACAGGTTACGCCAATCTTTTCAAGCCCATAATGCAGTCAGTTGTGAACCACTATCAACCAAGCTGCATTGTTCTACAAGTAAGAATCACAAAAACGTTCTCGTCATCATTCAGCGCTTTGATTCCTATGATAATTGATAGCCTTCTCATAAACGTTGTGAAAGTCTGATGTTGCAACGACAAAGTTTTCTGATCAGTAAATATTGTAATCGGTATCAATCTCTTTTATACGCATTTGATAGCATGAAAAAAGTTTTGGTCTCATAGAAGCGCTCTTGCACAATTCTTACAACTCACATCAAGTACATTTTAAAGCATACTGTGTATTGTATTGGCTAGATATCATGTTAGTATCTTTCGCGCAGTTTTAAACAGTAATCACTGTGGTCTTTCTCTCTTAATTTTTTATTGCAGTGTGGTGCTGATTCACTTGGGTGCGATAGACTTGGTTGTTTTAACCTCAGCATCAAAGGACACGGGTAAGAATCGTGGAGTTTAATCTACATCTTCTGTAACTAGCAGGAGAAGTGGCGGCCGAGTTTTTAGCGTAATAATTGATAGAATGCATATGACATGGAGATCTGGATGACTCTTTGTTTTTTTCTGAAAGCCATGTTCAAACCCTGGTCACTGAGTTTTGTTCTTTGGAAAAACACTTCACTCTCACAGTGCTTCTCTTCACCCAAGTACTGGAATAATGAAGAAAAATGTTTTTCGTCTTATCACGAGCGTGGGACAAAGTAAAAATTTTGAGTCCCCATAAGGAATCGAACCTCAGACCTTCGGATTTCGTTCTCCGATGCTCTACCACTGAGCCACAGAGACTCTACGGTGACCGAGGTCTATTACGAACTGAAGTTCATATGACACGCGTCCTGCATACTGTTATGATCAGCAATGTCGTTAGCGTCATGTTTTGAAATAATAGTACTGGAATAGTGTCTTGCAGAAATGGGACATTTGGTTTTTAAGACATAAGTTCTTACCAATATGGTGACAAAAGGGCTGAAGCTGAAAATATCAGCTCTAGAAACTCTTTACAGTGGCCAGTTCACGTTATCAACTCAGTTGATGAAATCAAAGTATCTTTTGTTATCAATTGCTTCCAGCGTCCAAAGTTTCTCAGCAGCAGCTGATATGTTTTTTTAAATCCATTTTCAGCGAGTGTGTTCAATTCGTGAAGACCTTTAACCTTCCAATGTTGGTTCTCGGTGGTGGAGGATACACCATTAAGAATGTTGCCCGGTGCTGGTAGGTTTTGTTATTGGCTTTCTGTGATCTGGATAGCTTTGATTGTGTGATGGAGCGCTGTTCGATCGGCTGTCACAGACCAAAACCATTTAAGGTGACCGCATTGGTTGATTGGAAAATCACAACGAACCACAGAGAAAATGCGAGGGGCCATGATACGATTATTTTGCGCTTTGGATTTGATTGGTTGAAAATTTTTCGACGAATCACGGAGAACAGTCCCCGACTACCTTCAACACTCAATCGAGTGTATTTGGCTAATTCGCTGGAAGATTGATTTTTTAGATTTGTTTCTGTAGTCCAAACGTAATCCACATCGGAAGTGAGCACATTGTGAGAAAAGCGATCAGACCTCATTGCTGAAAAAAAAAAAAAGATATACCTCTCTTGTTACGTACAGAGCCGTTGCACGTCTCCTGAGTGTTTCACTACTGTTCCTTTGATTTTCTTCTTGTTTAAAGGGCGTACGAAACATCGCTTCTAGTGGATCAGGAAATCTCAAGTGATATTCCTTATAACGGTAAACTGATATCAAGCCTGACTTAGTTAACCCTTTAACTCCCAGATCAAATTTGAAATTCTCCTTACTGTCAGCCATACAATTCTTATAATGTTAGTTCAGAGAATTTAGTATTGGATCAACTTGTTATCCCCAAATTGATATTCCTCTTTATTCTCATCACTTGTCTGGTTGATATTGTATTGGTATTGTAAGGAGAAATTCAGTCTTGGTCACTCATGGGAGTTAAAGGGTTAATAGCGATATATGGTCCCTAATTCTGCTATGATAATCGAAGAAAAAGACCTTTCCCTTAATCAGCCAATTAAAAGCGTGCTCTGAGTGAAATTTGGGGCGATTAGGTTAACGAAGAACAATTTTATTGTCGCAGTGCTTAAAGATTGAATAACTTCGCCACATAAAAAGTCATTTAAAAAAATGGTTTTCGTCTTTTCACGACTTTGGGACAAAGAAAAAATTCTGAGTCCTCATGAGGAATCGAGCCTCGGACCTTCGGATTCTGCGCTCCGATGCTCTACCGCTGAGCCACAGAGACTCTATGGTAAGCAAGGCTCATCACGAAGTTCTTATGACACGCGTCCTGCACACTGCTAGGGTGATGCTATGTGCATTGCTGATCCTAACGTTTGATTCGATTGCTCGATTCACCCACACAGACTATTTGGAGTATTTCGCGCCAGACTTCTCCCTGTATCCAGACATCGCAGCCAGAATAGAGAATCAGAACACAAAACAGGTAAGTTTGATGTTGGCTGATTCAAAATTAAATTTACAAATAAATTATGCAAAGTAGTGGTGTTCAGCAGTTCAAACGTTGTCCACAATTTAATTTTTTTTTTCTTTCAGTACTTGGACCATATAAAGCACACTGTCATAGAGAACATTAAGTGCCTAACAGGCGCTCCCAGTGTACAGATGCAGGAGGTCCCCCCGGATTTCATGTGCTTGGAAAGTATGGAAGAACAGGAAGACCCTGATGGGAGACAGGAGGATGACTCAAGGTAACGTAGGGGGAAAGGGCGGTGTTAGAGCTTAGTAAAGCTCGGTTTCAAGCGCCTCCCTTCTTCTTACTTTAAGAGAGAAGGGGTTGAGATGTCTTTTTGGGATCAGTCAAATTTATCGCCTAGGACGGGGGGGGGAGGGGGCCTAGGGTCACATGGCTTTCAGGGGGAACGGAGGGAAGATCAGTCGTTGCTAACAGTTTAAGGGGGGGACGTGGAAATTTGACTGCCAATGAGAAGGGATCATTAGAATACTAGAGAGCCTTAGAGGAGGGTGGGGAATCAGTTAAATTTTATCATGACACAATTAAAATCCCTCTAAACCCCCCCCCCCCCCCCCCCCCCCCCCATTCGCCTCCAGGTGATTGAAAATAACCGGTCCCTTACGAGTATTCTCCTATTCCTTCACACAGATTTGAAGGGGAATTTTATGACGGCGACCATGATGTTGACAAAGAAGACGCTTATGTCGAGGTGTAAAATGTTGAAGGAAGCAAGACCTTTTTGTCCGCGAACTAACAGCCTCATAGGCTTTGAAGGTGTGGGTGCTTGTGAAGGCGACCATAGGGGATCCGTAAAGAGCTAATGTTTTCCAAAAGAAACAAACAGAAAAAAACAAGCAAGCTGGAGACCATGTTTGCACGGTGACAAACGTGTACATCAGGAACGTTTCATACGCTGTCCCCAAACGAGAAACCGTTGTGTTCATAACCGATGTACAGATATTTCAGACATAAAGTAGTGATATTTGTGTATTGTAGAGGTGTGTGCCTCTATTTGTGTATTGTAGAGGTCTGTTCCTCAGTTATTAAAGATATGTCGGATTTGAATAAAGTACACACAAGTTGCAGTCGTTTTCGTGACGACGGACACAACAATTTTTCTGACGATGAAAATATAAGAAACAACCGCTGCCATGCAAAATCTGCGAAAAAAAATTGACATGTCTCTAGAAATCTGTTTGAGGAAACAAAACTTGGCATACACCAAGTCGATTTGGCATTTTGTTTTGAGCTTTTGTGGATTCGCAAATCAAGTACAACCTTAAAAAGCTATATTTCTAAACGGGTATTGATTCAAAATTAAGAGAATCGGACCCCGTTGATGAGAGCAGGATTAAGCTAACCGAAAGTTAGCCAAAATTTTTTTTATTTAGCTTTGTAGCTCTGCGAACAGTTTTAAATGTTCATATTTATTCTTCAGTTACGTCTTACGTAAGCTGTAACATACACTCTACTTCAAGAGAAATTAATTAAGGACACGATAAATTTTTTATCCAGCATGGATTATCGCCAAGGGAATTTCGAAAAACCGGCCCCCGGGAAGTGTGGAATTCCTTGCAGTTTCCTTCCTCCTTATTCCGCCGGACACAATCGCGAAATTAAGTCAATTATCTTTCGCACAAAGACGGATATCCTTTTCCCGAATATGGTAGCTGTGAAATAGCTGTAGTTGTTTCATAATCGAGACCTATACTGCTGTGACCCATAATTTTGTTGCTAAGAATACCTTCTGTAATAATTTTCTCAGGCGTGCGGTCTTATCGTACGGTCTTGTCTAGAAGGGACGTCAGATCGGCAGATGATCATGACCTGGTTCGGGGTCAATCAATTTAGGTTAATTTGCCTTATTACTGTCAAATGTATCTCCTTATAAAAAAATCTGTCAGACGGTTATAAGGAAAGTAAGTGGCCATAGGTTATTTTAGATAACCAGTATGTTTTGTATCGAGCATTGTTTGATATGAAAGTTACTGGGGAAGAAAAGTGAAAAAGTAGGAAAGTTTTAGAGGAACATAAAGAATAAGAGATCGTTGAAGGATAATGTGAACTAACGATACCAGTGATAATAAGCTGATGATGGAGTAACATTCTAAAGAAGAGTTGTTGAGGACAAAATTTTATAGTTTAGATGACCTGAAAAAGACAATTGTTCGACAAAGGAAAATGGTAAAGGTGTTTTAAAGGAAAGATCTTTGGCACCGTTTCACTGAAAAGTATTGTTAGCAAAATCAGTACCTTGCATTAATCTAAATAAAGTTACGGCACGTTACAAGGAAATTTATACCTTTTGTTGGGTCTCTCTCTCGGATTTTCAAACAGGGATCGCGGTGTCTCCCAGGGCGGAATCGCTGGGATCTGGTTAGATAAGGAACAGCTCGTCTTTTTTCGCGCAAGAAATCAGCGGATGGCCGTAGGTAAGCGCCACGCGAACATCTTTTTTTCTGTCCTTTTTTAAAGAGTTCTCTCAGGGAAATTTTTTCCCGCTGATTGCGTTTTACTTGAGCCACGGATTTAGCTGCTTGTAGTATAAAGAGATAAAGAGGGTAGAAAACGAAGCAAAACAAAACGAAAAAAACAACTGATATAAATAAGGAAACAAAAATGACAAATCCTCTATTTCCTGCCTTTTATCGCTAGCCACAAAGGCGCGCAACGATAAAACAGGAAACTAAAATCCTTTGTATTTTTGTGTAGCTTCTCCGCCTACATATCGTTCACGATTCCCCGGAAATAAACAAACGTACGGCTTTGGATGTTTTCATCTTAAAGTTTCTTTGAGATGGCGACGACAGCGGCTTTCGTTCGTCAAAACATTTAGAACAACCAACAGACGAGTTGATGATGTGCATTGGCATGCCCCGAGGGCTGTTCGTCTCCATTACATGAAACTGGCATTATCTTCGAGGCTCCGAGATATCTGCATTACACATTGTTGGGAACATCGAGCCAGACCGCCAGCAGCTTTAGAAAATGATCTATCTACAAGTATGTCTATTCAGGCAAAGATCAAAGCGCTTGATTTTTAAATACCCGTACACGCGTCAAATCAGAACTCCCTGCTGTGGTCTTACAGACTCATTTGTCTGGGTCACCTTATCCTTTCCTGACAGACAAATGACGTGGGTGTTTTGTGACGAAAGTTTACACCTCTCTAGTACTATACCCAACGTTACCATCTGTGTGGGTTCACTTCGTCCTTGGGCTGCAAGATTAGGTCAAACGCTCATAATTACGAAACAAAACGCAAACAGAACGGTGTTTTTCGACCTTCAACTGGGGAAGTGCACGATCACTACCTACAGTGTACATTCGAAGGGGGAATATTTTTAGGGAAAGAAGTTCTGAGACATCGTAGGTAAGCTGTGAAGTTATCAGTTCTTTGTTAGCGAGGTATGGTTTTGGCTAGCGGGTGATGCTACACACTGCTGCGTTCTTTATGGTAAGTAAAGGTTTCACCATTAATTAAGACTGGGATCCAACGGCTATGAGCCGCAATTCAGCTCTTGAATTTTTAGCATTTCTGAATTGTTGGTGAGGTTCTTCTAAACACAAATTTGATTCCCAGATATCCTTCAGTTCCAAATTACATTCCCTCTACTTTATTGCGGATTGAGTCCTCATATTAAAAGAACTCAAGATTCTTACGGACATTTGAGTCACTTTAAGGGGCTTTGAGCTTGAAATCCAAACAGAAGCAATGGGGATTCTCGTTAGGCGCTGGCAAGAAGGAAATCCCTGGAAAACGTAAAATCTATATAGCGGTAATCTGCTGGGTCATCTATTACGTTGCCATTGTTGATAAGGGCCTCTGGATTGACTTATACATTTTTAAGCGTTTACTATCAGTTTGTGAAGACAGATTTGCCATTCTGCGGACTCCCATTACGCCAGAGGCCTTTCGTTTCTCTTGAAAACATCACCAAATGTCACACGTACAATCGGATCGTTTTAATCTAGTAAGTTCGCCTCGACTGTGTGCGAAACGATTTGGAAATTGCAAAAGCTTTACAGTATCAGATACAGGATTCGTTTCTTGAAGTTAAATAGTCTCTAGCAAACAGATATTTCTATCGAGTACCTGCTCGTGATCATCGAAACATCACACATTGCGTCGATTTCTTGGGTAAACAAATTAATCACATTTTAATTACCTGCGTAACACTCTGCAAAGGTCAAATGGTTTACAAGGTGTCAAATAGGTATGAAAATAAAGAGAAAATCTGTTGTTTCTCATAAAAATTGTGGGGTCTTGAGGAGCTAAACGTGCAGCAGAGAAAATCGAAGAAAGATTATGGTCGCATCCACATTAGAAGGCGGAATTACACGTACTTTTTCCTTCTCAAGAATTCACAGACGATCTTTCGAATAATTGTTCTTTGTCCTGCACCAGCATCGCTCACTATCATTCAATTGGTTTTCATCCTGATTGTCAAGTTTCTCTCCGAAGTTATATATTTGCATTTATTTTATTTGTACGTTTTTTATCGTCCAGTCCAGTACAATTCATCGGGCATCCCCATGAAGTCAAGTTCAGTCTAATTTTCATCCTTTCCAAGTTAAGCGTTGACCAATTGTTTATAATTTTTCCCTCCTGTGTCAGTAATTACCAGGGTAAAAGTCAACCAAGATGCTTTTTAAAGTCTGTTTTATCTATTTAAGCATCCTTCCGCTTCTTGGTGAGTAAACAATTTTGATTTTCACGCAATTTTTTTTAAATGAAATTTTGCATGTCATGCTTGCTGATATTGTTTGTATTTCCTCTCAAACTTTGCGTTGGTTTTCATTCTACTGACTCAGAGGGCTTTGTGATTGAGTGGCGGAAAACCAAAAGCATAGTATTCACAACTGCCGATCAGAACAAAGGAAATAACACTAAGAGCCGATGAGGACTTCGTTACAAGCAAACTACCTGAGGCGCGAGAAAATGCGCGTAAGTAAGACATGAATGGTTTTAGTTTGCTTGATTGAGAAAATAGCGCAAGTGTTCTGGACAAAATAAAGATTGGCTTGACGACGGCGACTTTTGATTGATCCGTAGGAAAGCAAAACAAACGATTCATCTGTCCTGGAATTTCACATTATGTTATGAAGTTACCGTTTGGCGAGAATTGATCGGTTTTTAATTAAACTTTGCAGGGAATCAAAACAGTTAATTAAAACAATCTGTTGTAACTTAAGTTACACGACAACATGGTATTTCAAGGGTAAAGTAGAAACTTATTTGACTGCTTTCAGAGACTGGTTTTTCCTTTGTCTTTTTATGATCGAAAACAGTCTCTTTCAGTTCAGCTTAGGACGATTTCAGTACCATCAAAATAAAACAACAGAAAGAAAATCTTTGAACTCTGAAGATAAATTATGTTATAACGTAACTTTGTTCCGATCGACTTCTGGAGGTAGAAGTGTTTATTATTAGTGCAGGAACATAACAGCCCGTCTTTCTCCCCAGTCTCTCTTCTTTTCCTCAAAGAAATTGTAAGAGAATGTAACTCAACACCCGGTTCGTAGTAAAAAATGCTGTGTAGCTCTTTCTGAGACAAATTTCAAAGGAGAATTAAGAAATAGAAGTTTGCTGCTGTTTTGGTTTCGCTAACGCTTTGTGATTGGTCCAGAAAACCCGCACCCCACCTCGACCAATCAGATGCAAAAGTAAAACCAATTACTACCGGTCATTCTTGTTTTCCCGCGCTTCAGGCGATTTGTTTTAACTCTGAGATCTGATCAGCGTTTTCTGAGATGTTTCTTTGGTCTGATGGGCCGTTGTGACCACGTAGTTTATTTTGGTTTGGCTCCACGACATCCAGTTGAAAACCCTATGCAAAGCTAACGCTGCTGCAAATTCATTCTCAATTTAAACTGATCCATACTTCTTCTACTCGGTCCTGTTTTCCATGGTGAAAACAAACAGGTAGATCTGGGGGAGGGAGAAGGGGTCAGGAACAAAACCATGCCCTAGGACAGGAGGGTTAACTCGTCTAGACACTTTATTTGTACCTCGATGTCTCAATGTCTCGCCAACATCTCCATTATAGCCCGAAAATGGGCCACAATATCCGCTTTTTTCCGTATCCACTTAGCCAAGCGTAAGCCAGGGTCATGTGAAGCTATGGGGCTATAGCGCGACACAAAGTCTCTTAGTGTTTTCGAGTGACTCCCTCTGGGTTCACATTTCTTCCTCCTGACTTAAAAGAAACTAAAATGACCGTTGTGCAGCTGCCTGAAGACTTAAGCTTAAAGGGATTCTTTTGTTTTTTTTCGGTGGCAGGTGAATCATCGTCATCTTCGACTGATTTTGGTGAGTTATAGTTTCTGTGGCTACAATGTTTTTGTTCGTTGATAGAGTCCTCTTAGGAACCTCACAGGAAAATAAAGGTAGATGTTGACGATGCTGTCGAGTTTCTCTAAGAAAAATCATCGGTATAACCGGCGGATATCGTGTTCCATCCAACGGTCAGTGTAATTCTCCTGATCGCTTTATTCCATTGAAATCAGGATCATGTGGGAATAAGTGGGCCACCAACCTTGCAAGCTGTTGCTTTTTTGCTGCGTTTTATAGAATAATGTTGTTTTGATCGTCCAAGAGGAGGGTTGTGTTCTGTAACGTCATTGAAAAAAACAAGCAAGATTTTCACCTTCTTGAATTCCCTTCGAATTTCACCGCAATATGAACGATTGTCGAAGAAGACTTGAGATAGCGTCAATTAACTTCTATTGAAAGAAAGTTTTTAAACATACACTGTTAACTTTTTTCCTTATTCAGCTTTTCCTCAGGATTGTGGGCTCAGAAAAATACGAAACAGTAAAGTCTCACGCGTGAAAAGGATTGTGGGTGGCTCCCAGAGTTCTCAGGGGAAGTGGCCCTGGCAGGCTGCCTTGTTTTTTCATGGAACCCACTACTGCGGCGGCGCAATCATCTCTGACACCTGGATATTAACTGCTGCTCATTGTTTCAGTAAGCAAAGACAAAAGAGACTCGGAACTTCTGACTTCAATAGGCAGAGAATTCGAAACTGTTTGATATCCGCTCTACAAATATGAGGTCGGAAATTGTAGGTTTTTCTGGTATGATATTTATGTAAATCACCACTTCGGGTGAAGAGCTGAGAGAGGGGAAAGGAAAAAAGCTGTGAATAGACCGTGAGAAGACTGTGAGTAACTGTGAATTGTTCCACAACTGAGCTCCACTGTATGAACAACTTCTCTGCAGGTGATCAGTGCGCGCTTTAGGAAGAAAGAGCTAATTTGTTCGCTAACAAAACGCGTTCATGTTGTCGCGGATAAAAGGAACATTCGATCGTAAATATTCCGGTGGCATCCCATGTAAGGTTTTATACATCATGATAGCTCTCTTTTCCAATCTTTGATGATCAGTTTCCGCCAGAGTAGCAACACTCTTGGTGCTTCATGGAAAGAAAACTGGCATGAGCTTCAGCATGATTGAATGGGAGAAGGGGAGAGGGGCTAGCAGATGGAGGGGAGAATGGGGAGAATCTACGATGGTGCCATCCCTTATAAGGTTTTATACATTATGATAGCTTTCCTTTCCAATCTTTGATGATCAGTTCCCGCCAGAGTGGCAACACTCTTGGTGCTTCATACGAAGGAAACGGAGATAAGCTTCAGCATGATGGGTGGGAGGGGGGAGGGAACTAGCAGAAAGCAGGGGGGGGAGTGGCGGTACTCTTATTGCTTCATGCTAAGGAAAGCTGGATACTCCCTTGCAATATGAGGATCAACAGCTTCTTAATTTTTTCAATTTTTATCCCAGATCCCAACACATCCAAAAATCCTGCTGACTGGACAGTAGTCCTTGGAGATCATCACCGCGTAAAACAAGAAGACAAGTTTGAGCAAAGACGGAACGTGATCAGCATCACAGTCCACGAAAACTACAAATCCATGTTCTTTGAGGGAATTGAGGATACTCCACCCATGAATGACATCAGTAAGTTGCAAATCTATGGTGAAGGATCGGTTAAATCAATAACTGAATAAACGTAAATAAATTTTCAGTAAATCTTTTATTTTGGATAATTCAACTACTAGCCACTGATGTTTGTACAGATTTTTGCCGAGTTAAGATATCTATAAACTACGGCCTATACTTAGCTCTTATCATGTACCTGATTGCTCGAGGACGAATGCGTAAATAGGTCAAAGGGTGTACCATGGGATTTATGTATTGAAATCTCTCGAGCTCGTGCTTTTGACGATAAGTAGAAAATATGAACCTATAAAAACGAAGAACGTAATGCATTAGAACAACGAGAGACGAGGATGGTTTAAAAGAGGGACATTTGACAAGGATTGCAAATGACATACTTCAAAACATTACGCTTATTTTTTATTTTAAGAACTAAATACCCTGAAGTAGCTGATTCAAGGTTGGGTGACTTAGCACTTTGCATACTATGACGTCACGCGATTTCTCTGTGGGAAGGTTTCATTTTGTACTTAGACATGTTAAACACAAATCGCACTATTGCTGTCAAATTAGGACTTCATCGAGATGAATTCCCCTTTGACACGTGGCAGAGGTGCGAGCGCTTTCTAGGAGCTGCAGAATGCTGATTTAAGAGGCCAGTCGTCTTTAGTCTCTTAAACAAACTCATGATCAGCGATGACAGGAGCCATTAAAATGGCTCCTAGCATGGTTAACGCTTACTCAAAACTGTCTCATGCAGGTCTTTCTTCTATTGCAGCGATAATGAAACTTGACCGTCCAGTTACATTCAATGACTACGTACAACCAGCATGCTTACCACACCCAAGTCACGTGTTCGCTCCTAATGAGGAGTGCCACGTGGCTGGGTGGGGTTACACAGAGTGGAATGGGATACAACCTGACATTCTACGTGATGCTAAAGTTAGAATCATTTCTCGGGAGGTGTGTAACCAGGAAAAATCCTATAACGGGACGATTCACGGGACCGCCATGTGTGCAGGACATCCCGAGGGTCGAATAGACGCATGCGAATATGACAGCGGCGGTCCGCTGGTTTGTGTGAAGTGCGGGCGTCATTACGTCGCGGGGTTGGTTTCGTGGGGCGATCAGTGCGCTCTACCAAACAAGTATGGCGTTTATGCAAATATGACAGTGCTCACACCCTGGGTTAAGGAAAAAATCAGCAAATTTGAAAGGGATAGCGCTGCAAAAGCATCAAAAAATATGTAACCACTATAAAAAAAAGTTCGTGAAAGCGCATCATTCGTTCCATGCGCTTGAAACAGGAGAGGAGATCAGGGAGCCTGAAACGTGATCTAGAGCATAAGGTTGAGGCTTATTGCTGAATTTGTCGGGAAAAAATAAACAAGAGGCCGAACAAAGCTTTCTCTCGCGAAAAGTTTTATTTCAGTTTCTTTGTCTGTCTGATTGTGTGCAATTTTTAAAGCCCCGTTCAAACGGTTATAGTTGATAGTTGATAGGTGATAGTTGAGGATATTTTCAACTATCACGCGTGTTTGAGCACGAACTGTCACTCTCATCGATTATCGCGTACTTTGGACATGTTCAAGTTCGCATGATTGTTGATGAAAATTTTCCGTGTGAACTAGCGGATGATAGTGAATGATTTTCGGTCAGCAGTTTGCTAAAAACTGTCTTAAACTGAAATAGAAAATAGTAAAATGACAGAAGTAGCCGTCAAAATTTCGCATTAAATCTCTTGGAGTTGATTCTCATTACCTCCTGGAAGGCTTCAGTAACTTTAACTCGCAGCTTGACTAAAAATTTCAAATGCCACCGAAATAGCTGACCTCCGCGCGTGCATATTTGTTTACAGTTACGCGATCTCATCGCGTGATTTTGTCAACTATCATGATCGGTTTGAACGCAAACACGATAGGCAGTGATAGTGAATGATAGTTTGAACCATCATAGACTATCATCTACCAGCATCACTGTTTGAACAGGCCTTAAGTTTCTTTCAGGAGTGAATTTTAGTTTTGCGTTTGAACCTCAAGATAGCAAATGAGTCCCGTTTTCATTTTCTCCACCAGTTTCCTCGCTCATAATGAACTTGCGCATGAGTGGAATCTTCCTTTAAAAAATTGCTCAGGGGTGGGGTCAGGAACTTTGCAGTTCATATTTGTGTTTCAATAATGATACTAACGCACTGAATTTGTAAAGTACGTGAACAAATACTTCCTCAGTTAACAACCTTTGCTCTTTGTGTGTTCAGCCTCTGTAAGAATTCTCTACATCGGCTCTAAATAATTTTAATGCAAGCTTTAGGACTGTCAGTTATGGTTAAAATAGATTCTGTAATCCATACTAACCTACAAAAAAAGTAGAGTGTCATATGTAGACTAGCCCTTTCAAGTTCACACGACTCAACGAATTTCACTTTAGCCCCGGCCTGATGATCTCACTTTGGGAAATCTCAATCTTTTCAGCGAGCTGAGATTTCAGCCAGATTTCCGTTTATTTGATGGGTGGCGAATTAACAATCTGAGACCTCCAAGATGCCGAGACCCCTGTTGGAAAATCCGTCATCGTGACTTTAGAATTTGAGCCGTACAACCCTCTGTTAGTCCCGTTGCTTTACTCAGATATATATATAAATATCATTGCAAGGTAACCGATCATGATTAACAGGAGGAAAGGGAATTTTGACAGATGCGATACCCTATTTCACCCCCGTTGTGTCGATACATCAGCCTTTGGATCGTAGTTTTTCCACACGACAACGATCTCTCACAGACTTTCGTCCTCGGTTCACAAGTATAACGCTGAGTTACTCTAGTCGTGGGTATAAGGACAACTTCTAGATTTCGAGAACTTTGGAAGAAATGCGATACTTGGGAAACCCAAGGCCGTCGAGATTTCGAGATTGGATAAAAATAAATTAAAAAAAAAAAAAAAAAAAGAATATTGTGGTCCGTAATTTTGGCAAAGCAGCATCCGCCATCCTAGAGAAATTAAGGCTACGGCTGAAGAGATTAACAAAGCGATATGCGCCTTTATGGTGAATGCTGGTGATCAAGTACGAGTGTTCAAATTGTTTTAAACTCGGTTACTGAATTGAAATGATTTGCCGCACTGAATGTTGAAAAACAAGGCCTTTTGATTGGATTTTTGAGAAGTCCACTTAAAGGAGATCGATTAACACCTATGAACGCGCGCGTGGAGAGAATCTGATAGTTAGGTATGAAGAGTAGAAGCACAATACTTTTAGCAACATGTTTTTAATCGTTTAGAGAACAGAAACAAAAGATAGATTTATCCGATTTTGCTTTGCATGTCTTGACTACAGATGTAACTTAAGCGATAAAGTAAACAAGGTTTTATTGAGAGTGTCAATGAGGCCAACAATCGATTAATGCTTAAATTAATTTGGTTAGGAAACGGAAATCGCTCATCTAGAAGAAAGAGTTCAAGGTCCAGATTTTTTAATAGATCTTTGGTCAAAGTTGGGCTGTTTTGCATGCTGTTTTCCACTGTTATATTAAATTTCTTCTGCTTACGCGGTATTTCTCTCTACAACAAACGCAGTAATAACATCCTCCCCGGAATTCTCCTGGGATTTTGACTGTTGACTATTCCGAAAGGAAGGAAATCATTCTATAATTTGTCAGCGTCTTCTTGGAAGACCTTAAGTCAGGTGTATGAATGAACTGAGGCCTTTCATCTGTTATGTTACAAAATTCAACATTTTCCGAACGGTAGGGATATTTCCGAGATCGTTTAATGACCTAAAATACGAGGGGAAAACTTCTACCCGTGGGATATTTACCAGAAAAGCCCTTCTCTCGCCCCTACAGCTTTTTACTGAAGGGAAATATCAAAGTTTCAGTTGACATTGTGATAAATTTTACAAACTCTCAATATTTCTCCCCACTGTTTTTTCAAGCTGAGGAAAATATGTTCTTTCTTGCCGTTAAAGATGTGTCAAATTCACCCACGCTACAATCCGTAAGGTTACTTGAAATCTCGCAAGATCTCCGTCCCTTACGAAGATATTAGGATGGAGCGTTTCAAATGATTTGGTCATAAAAGGTAGCATCTTCTACAGAACTTATAAATATACTGCTGATCACAAAATGACCAAGTAATGATGTGATACAAATTATTTAAAGTTATTTCGGTTCATTTCTCTTTCAATTTCTCAGTGATGTTGTGAACGAAATGAAATACACTACTTTACGAAACCCGCTCTGTTATCTAAATTTTTTGAATTTCAATCTATGAACTCGAGGGTAGGCAAGCAAGTGAGCATAAGATCAATGTTATTGCGTAAGAAATGAGATTTACGTGCTCCTTGAAGCAAGGCTTCAGCTCTGAGCAATACTTAAAATAATGGAATTCTTTACATGTCAGAAACTGACCCTGATCAAATAAAGATTTACTGCGATCAATTTCATAGATAAAGGTATCTAGAGATTCAAGATTCTTCTGTTTTCTCTGCAGGAAGTGGATCCGACCCTTAAAAAAAAAATTCGATTGAACTTTTTTGCCCTCAAATGATAAGTTCTGACAACGCTTTAATTAACCATGAGCAGGAAGGGTGAATATTTGAAATAAGGACCTTAGCGGTAGGTGGACTATGATTCAAAAATAGCCCGCGTACGCGCGGCATACGCGCACGAAAATAACGAGCGTCACTCAAACAAACGTGGATGCGCCTTTTTGTTACGGAAGGAAAAAAAATCTGCTTGCGACCTCAGTTGTACACTGAAAGCGTTTTCATACCTCTCTTAAATGGTTAATTCTACTAATTTGGCCGTGAAAAAAGGAGAATAAAATGAAGATAATCTGATCTATCAGGGTCGCGTCATCTGGATTAATTTGCTTCTCAATTTTGCTGGTGTTTTTTTTTTCGTTAATTGATGAATTTCCGTTATGGAATCCGTCACGTCCATACTTGCTAATTTTTTTTCCATGTCTCATTATCAAATCGATTTTTTTGCATGAAAACCCTAAGCTCAATCTGTCACAATTTAGGGGTAAACAAGCCAGACGGAATTTGTGACAACACATTCTTTAAACCTTTAATGTGTTATTCCCAAAGATTTGTGAACAATGCCCAACGAAACAAAAACAGAATTTTATACTTTAAACCCTGAAGCTTATCATGCCCCTTGTGAGCTGTCAATCACGTGGAGATGTACTTTGGAAAAAAGCCCAGCTTGTTCTTTATTGATGAGCCGATAAATGCGTCCCATAGGGCAAATGACGAGATGAAATTTCATTCCTGTTGAAACACGTTCCTCTTCTGGCTATAAATACATTGACACCTACCAGAAAAGCGCTCTTTCCAGGAGGTTAGCCGGCGACTGCAAATATGAAGGTGTTCGCTCTTCTCTTGTTCGCTGGAGTTTCTCTTGCACACTATCGAGGTAGTACAGCTATCTACTTTGTATATCTTGCATAAAAATGTAAGAATTTTTATAGGTTATAGAATAATTTTTACTTAAAATGTCCCGGCTATTCTTTAGTTCGCATGTAGAGTCCTAGGACAGTTTATGTAACAGTGTCCAGCAAAGCAAATAGAGGTGCTTTCTGGACCATTAACAGCTCAATCTTCTCGCATTTTTTCAGCTATACAATGCGACAAAGAGCGGAAGATATAAAAAATTTGCAGAACAAGCTACCAAGCAATGTTATAGCTAGGAGAAGCCCTCGAAGAAATTTTTTTGGGAACGATAAAGAGGCGGTCAAGGGCGGGGTTAATCCATTGCTTGTTGAAGCAAATATGTTCACCTCTTAGGGTACGAATACCAATTGAATAACTTTCTTATTGCCTGATTTGAATTGTTTTTGAAAATTGCAGGTAATCACGTAAGGCAGAGGGGTACCTTTCTACAGGAAACTCGGCTGAACGGTAAGAATTGCTTGCAAAGCAAATTTTTAAAATTCTGTTTTGTTCTAATGATTGCGGAAATTTTTGTCGAAAAGCTATGAAATTTATCAAAAAGCAAGTCGATTCACTTGGCGAAACGCAGCTCACTTCCATGTCAATGAAGACAGAAAAAAAAAGCTGGATAAAGTAACAAAATCAAGCCAGTGCTTGCAAACATGCACGCTAGAGTTGCTCACAAACCTAAACAGCTTTGTTACCAAAATTACTAAAGATTCCTTTGAACTGTCACCGGAAAATAGCAATTTTCGCACAACAAAACAATTTCACGGCTTTTATTTATAAACCTTGATCTGCAATTAATTGATTAGATTTAGTGACGTTACATGACAATGCACATTTCTTTCATCGGTCAAACTTCACAATAGAAAAATGTACTTCGCTCGTTTTTTCTGATTAACAGCAATTAGGTCACGTTTTGAATCCAGATTGCCCAAGATGCCTTATCTTTTCAGTGTTTTTTTTTATTAGAAATGGAAAATATCTTCAACTTAAGCAGTCGAGGTTCTGAGAAAATGAGATTTGTCTACCAGAGTCCTTTAGGATCTTACGTTAACCTTTTAACCCTTTGGAGTGACCAGCATCTAATTTCTCCTTACAATATCACCCCTGAATCACACATTAAAATCACAGGAATCAAGGAAATGATCACCGATTAAAGAAGCTCTTGATTGTTAAGCAAATTCTCCTTGCTACCAGCTTAAGAACTGTGCAGAGAACAGTACGGAGAATATGCATACTGATGTTAGGATGTGAAGGATGAGAACATCCGCAAAGCATCCTCTGTTAGAGAAACCGGTTGAAATCCCAGATCTGAAATATGTTCTCCTTTCGCTCCAGCCAGTCGTAAAATTGATTTATTTATTTAAGTCAGAGCTCTCCAAATTTCAAACTCAGTGAGGAACGTGACCCTATGTCTACCTGACATGTGTACGCGATCTGCTGTTATCATTCCTATGTACCTGAAATACACCAGATGTCATCATTTCCGGTCTTTAAACAAAGGAACGACTCAAATAATATATTTTTGCGTAGGCGACAGAGGAAATATCATCGCTGTCTCGGAATAAAGGCTTCTAATCAGATAGCTCTAAGAAAAACAACAGTTATCAGCTGAGCGTGAATATTCAATTTCGCTGCAAATCGCTTGACTCGTCCATACCGGTATTGATAATTTTATATTGCAGCAAATAAGATCATATTTCTGATAGGTCATATGTGCGGTATCTTATCTTCAAAGTCAAGTAATCACCTTACCTTTCCTTCAACAATGCTGTCGTTTTTCCTAAAGCAATTCTCCAAACCCGGATCGAATCGTCCTCCGTCATTCAACGATTTGTTTTGTGAACGTAAAATTTATTGACAAGAGTAGATACGTGGTGTTCAGAAGACAACTTTTCTTTCTTTTTTCTCCCTTTTTTTCATAAGTTGAATGGAACGCGTGACATTTCCTTGTGAAACTGATAACGGAAGAGGCAATATTTATTATCCCCAGTCCCCAGCAGCAAACAAGTTACGCAATCTGTATCAATATGGCGTCTACCCCGTAAATAGGATATCAAAACGTCTGCGTCTCACTCCAGATTTTCGCAAGATGTCGTTCTTCTTTCTTATGTATTCCAACAATTTTCCCATGCAGGCGACATTTCTCTCTGTTTAACTGAGAATTAATCCGAAGTGGTTATTTCTTTCACGGATTAATCTTGAATATGTGACGTCACGCGCTCGGGTCCAGTCTAAGCTTCGCAGCGATCTCACGGGCATTCTCAGACTTCCTTCTTTCAAATCTACTTCACGGGAGGGGTGGGTAGTTTTGTGTTCGAGAAATTAAGCTATACAGGCCCCGACTCGAACTGATTTTAAGTGTTAAGAAGAAAACAGCATATATTTAAAAAATTTTCTTTCTGAATTTTAAACACGTTTACTCCTAAATTGACGTCCATGGTCCTCTGATATTTTAATTGCGCTGGACGATATTAAAAAGGAATTCAATTTGGCTATCGAGCTAGGCTTATCATTGAACGAAGTATTACAGTGGTATCTTAAGCCCTTCCTCGGCTGATAAGGACATTAAAACAACTTCCCATTGAGCGGCTTGCATTTAGATCTTAAAAATTAAAGAGATCACGTACCGATGAACTATTAACGAGGATTGTCAACCGTCACGCGAATTTTTTTAACAGCATTGAACATTCTCCAGACAGTGAGACTAATGACCAGTGACCCTTTAATCCTATAGATTGTCTAGCATCTAATTTCTCCTTACAATATCACCCTTGAATCAAACATTAAGGTCATGAGAGTAAAGGAAATGATCACCAACTGAAGTAGGTCTTGATTGTCAAACAGATTCTTGTTGATAGTACTACAGGACATGTTTAGAGAACAGTATGGAGGTTAACAATAAATAAATCCCCCCAAAACGTTACTGATTAGGTTTGAACTAACTTTACAGCATCTAAACAATCGCAAGTAAACTGTCTTTTTCGTTAAATTTGATTTATCTTTTACTAAACCTTGCTGCTACAATTTTAACTAAGAAAATGTCATGAAGGTGATTGAGTTGAAATTTGGCACCGTATTTTTGGTGTCAAGTTACCACATAGCGACAAAATCGAAAGGCCAATTTCCTTTTTCTATTGTGGTTTTTTTTTTTTTCTTTCAGAGTACAAGAAATCCCACACCTACACATACGAGTATGTCGCATCGGTGAACAGCGGTTTCCCTGAAACGGAGGAGCGGTATGCAGGACTGAAGATCACGTGTGACACAGACTTCTACTTCGAGACAGACACTTTGGCTTATTTGAAGGTTGGTGTCCCTGTGGTGTCTCCTGCGGTCATGCAGTACCTTATATTATGCTGCACAAGGTGGTTCTAAGGGACCACTCATTATTTATCGCCTTGGGAGGGGGAGGGGGAAGGGTCGGAGAGTTTTTTGAGGGGGGACTGAGAGTTTCAGAAGGAACGGAAGAGGGATCAGTCATGCTAACAGAGTGTTAAGGGGGGG